GTGAGCAATTAGTTCTTTTCGACGCTTTTTTGCATGCAAAATCTGAAGACGAACAGCCTTGAATTTTATGTCAGACCAAATTCTAAATGCGAGATTGTCGATTATCCGATGATTTTGACAGCCAAATATTTAAATACTGCGACGAACATTCAGGTTTTATTATAAAACAGTTAGCAAATTTATTTCAAAAAACTTGAAATCTAGAGTTATTTTCAACAACAAAAAAAAACAGATTAGGACGACCCAAAAAAACGGAAGTGAAGTTGATCAAATCATTCAAAATTTAGAAACTAATCGCAAAAAAAACATAAGCTTTCGTGAACAAAAATTGTCCTGTTTCAAGGTTTACTATTCGACGCTTCGGATGCAATTGCCCACCGTAGTTATAGGTTTTGAGCGAAACTCTGCTTTATGAACTTTCAGCGTTATTTTTAATTCAGTTTTATAGAGAGTTGCAAAAAGTTCGGACAGACAGAATTAATTAAAAAGAGCAACTGTCTAGACATCAACTGAAATTAAAACTGAAATAAACATAAAATCGAAAGTTCATAAAGCAGAGTTACGGGATCTACTTAACAATCCCCACTTTCAAGAAAGGGGAGGAGATTGTTAATTAGATTACTGGCAGCGAACTTTCGACCAATCAGAATGCAGCAAAGTTCGAATTTACATATTGCTCTAGTGCAAATTTACTGTTTTTTTTACAGGGGTGGATTTTATTTAGTAAATACAATAGGGTGGGTGGGTGAGATTGTTAAGTAGATCCGAGTTTCGCTCAAAATCTATAACCATGGCGGGCAATTGCATCCGAAGCGTCGAGCTGTTTTATAGTAAAATCTGGATGTTCATCGCAGTATTTAAAAATTAGGCTAGCATAATCATCGGATAATCAACGATCTCGCAATTTGAATTTGGTCTGACAAAAAATTAAGGTTGTTCGGCTTCAGTTTTTGCATGCAAAAAAGCGTTGAAAAGCACTGATTGCTCATTTTAATTAATTCTGTCTGTCCGAACTTTTTGCTACTAATTATAATTTCCGTTGACGTCCAGACAGCTGCTGGATTTAATTAAATCTGTCTGTCCAAACTTTTTGCTACTCTCTATAAATGTTCGAATAAATTTTGACCTTGAAACAGTAAAATGGCGCTGACACTGCATTTCGATTAAATCTAAAAATGAAGGTCAGAAGTATTTCAGAAGTTCAACACGTTGTCCGATAAATTTGTGAAAAGCTATGGAGTGTTGCAAAAAATTCGGAGAGACAAAACTAATTAGTCAGAGCAATCGTAACATTTTGACATTTTTTTTGCATGCAATGGCGATTTCACACAACCTTGAGATGCAATTCAATTTTGGACTTAAAAGTTAAGTTTTGCGTGCAAAATTTTTTCAAAGTAAGTCAATCGCTCTTTTTCATTAATTTTAAAAGGCTGAATTATTTGCGACTTATTATACCGTCATAATTCAACGTTATAATTCAACGTCGATGGCATGAAAAACTTTTCACCAACATTTCACGACTTTCACGAACAACGTTTAACATTTTTAACATATGAAAACACTGCGTATCATACATACATATTTTTAATGAGAAAAATAACTAAACAGGGGACAAAAATACACGCAAATTTAGGTTTTTAATCTCTAAAAAGCCTTACTTAAGGACCATTTTGGGCAATATTCACTGTGAACTTGCATTAAATTTTACATCGACCGACAGAAAAAGATCTGAGCAACTTTCTATGAAAGGCTCAATGTTTGATTTGAACGAATTACTAGCTTGTTCTGTGTCTAAAAATGCTATTTTTATCATCCGAACTACGTTTTGCATCGTAGTGAACGAATAAGTGGCTATTTTAGATCCGGAAAAAACTGGCGAGTGCTTAAATTGAAACTTTCAAAATTGAAACTTTCATGGAGGATAGTTCAGATCACTTCCTGTCGATCGATGTAAAAGTTTTGTGAAAATTGAAAGTAAATATTGCTCGAAATGGTCCTTAAAGTTGGTTTTTTTTTAGAAAGTAAAAACCTAAAATTGCACTTCATTTTGTCCCATTAGTGTTCTATGCAATGTTATACTTTGTTTTGGAATGTTATGATAATAATTTGCTGTCAACCAAGAATCACAAACACCGGTAAGAATAAGTTGAAATTTGTCTCGGCTGATAATCGTTCACAGAATGTTTTTTGAACAAATAGCCTTAAGTATATTACTCATAATAAATTTGTATATAACGGACCCGGGTTGACCTCCATACACCGAAAATGGTTATCATAGAATTCCATACATCAAGTCTATGGAAAAATGCTTGTCATACAATTTTCATACAATTTCTAAAAATGGTTGAAAACTGGTATAAACTTATTTCTGTGGATGTTTGATTCTTATAAAACAGTCTGGTGATAAAAAACTGAGGTCCTCGTTTTTTTGAAAAAAATGCTTATCATACAATTCCCATATATGGGAATTGTATGACTGGCATTTTTTTGATGGCGACACAAAAAAATTTTCAAGTAATTTTGAAAATTTGGCCCAAAATTTTTTTGTATTTTTTTTCAATCGCAAATCGAATTTCGTACGCAAACAAACATTTTTCGAAATTTTTTTTTGCATGCAAAATTTAATATTTTGTGTGCATAACGTAGTCCTGGATACGATAAAATTGGCTTTTATTTTCTGTTCACTTAAATTTTTTTTTCAAAAACGCTGAAAATTCCTATTTCTTTTGTATGGGGTGTAAATGTAAGCTTTGATCAATGTCTGATAACTTGAAAATTCAAAAATTTGAAATAATCATCATTAAAAAATTTTGCCAAAAAATAAAAGTTCGTTACTTTTGTTATATCAATTGTGAAAATCATCCCAATTTAGGTCGTTTATGTATTGTAAATGCAAGACCGTCCAACCTTTGGTGTTTAAAGTAACCAAGGTCTTTGTCACTTGTGTTCGGTTGCAAACACAACCAAAAACTTTTCAGAAACCAAATTTTGAAAGAAAAAATCAAAATTTTTGGTTTATGGAAAAACACCTATCATACAATATTCATTTATGGAAAAATCTTTATCATAGAGATTTCATACAATGTTCTGTACGTATGGCATTGTATGGAATTGTATGACAAGAAGTTTTTCATAAATGGAAATTGTATGATTAGAAATTTTGGTCAACCCGGGGAAGTTACATCCAATACTTTGGTGTTTCATTATTATTCGTGAAATAATTGTGAATCAGTGAGGTTATACTATTATAAACTAACAATAGTAGCAAAAACTAAATGACCAGAGGTTAAATTATTGATAATTTTGCCAACTGTTTGAGAACAGCCCGCCCTGCTAGGCTGTAGATTGAACTAAAAATCAAACCCTCGATATCTAATGCTTTTCAAAACCGTTTTTTTTTTTAAATCTTCTATTTTTCCTGCTTGTAAGATTTACTTCCGCCTTTTCATTATCTCATTTCTTTCACAAACTCTGCAACGGTAATCTTTGAAAACCACGCTTCTGTTGTTTACTTAGAAAGTACAGTTGATCACAATTTGTTTGTTAATTGGTTTGCTTTCTCGTCAATAGTCTATCAAATTATGTTAAAGATTTAATACTGATAGTAAACTGTCTGGAAAGCCAACAATTTTGCAAATTTAATCTTCTTGATCTTACAGAAATCGATTCCTCTCAATTAAAGTTTATGGTCAAAATCCTTAACTGTGTATTTTGGGCAGCGGTGATTCTTTGGATAATCCATTTTGGTTTAAAATATACTAAAATAATATTTAATTTTATGATTTCATTTTATGATGTTTTCATTAAAATTGGTTGCCAGTCTACATATGATGTCGAAGTTATACATAATGGCAGAATCAAAGGGTTGAGGTTAGACTTTTAGATATAAAATGAGATTCCAACTGAAGGCTGAGAAAAAAGCGCGTATAGATTGAAAAATTGAATAAAAATTACGTGATAAACTGAGCATCAGCAATAATTTAGGTACATTGGTTCACCTCGTCGATTTTTCATTAGTTTTGTTAAGCAAAAACATTTCAGAGAAAAGTTTCAAACTGCCAGTAAAAAGTTCTCGACTATTTTGTCTAATTTTTCGCAAGTCGTATCTAACTTATTTGTTGCCGCTATGTCACCGCACGTTTTTCCGTTTCAGTCTTAAACGAGCATCTAGCTTATCTAGAGTATCGGAAAAAGCAGAAATATTTTGAAAGATTTTAACCAAACAATCAACTGCAGTCAATAATGACAACAACAGAAAGTATTTGAAATGTGAGAAAAATGTTAGACGAAACTTGAATTTTCATATGGTTTTCCAAAGTATTCAAGAAAAAGGTTTTCTCAACTCCAGATCTGTCTCCAATTTTGCAAACATTAGGAAATTTTGAGCTCAAAAATTGTCTTTAAAGCTTCAGCTGCATAAAAATTGTTGAAAATTGGAAATACTTGTTATATTTACTTCAAAAAAAGTAGGGTGAGGGGGGAGGGGGGGGGGGGGGGTGACTAAAGCAGTGACTAGAAAAGAGAACTAAGGTCCAATCACACTGGCTTTTCCCCAAAAATTTTGAAAAGAAAAACTTTTGGCGAGGAAATGAAAGTGCTGACTTTTACTTCAGTAGCTAGCTATTTATTGACAGCAAAACATTTTTTAGGATTGGCCGTCGTTTAAATTGATTTCATATCAATTACATTTCCTTAAAGAAGGAGTTCTCGTCAGAGAAGAAATGTTTATCGAAAAACCGTAAACGACATTCTGCACTGCGACTGAAATGACCATGAAATCCAACTAATGAACAAGAAATTTCAGTCGCCATGTTTTTGGTATCAAACTTCTTTAGATTTTGTAATTCTTTAACGGAAAATTGACGCCCACAATTTGAACCAATATTACAAAATTTTAAATTTTAGTCCCATATTAGAAAATGGAATTTGGCCTTACGGGAGTACCGGAAATTTGAACTGCATGTCAAAAGTTTTCAGATGTGTGGCTATTTTTTTCATACCTTTAAGAGTATCATAAGCGTAAGAATATAGACTGGAGTAAGTTTGTCGACGGATGGTAACAAGATAAGTGCTGTTATTTGTGTTGTGTTGCTGTTGTTGCCTGATGCTGAAATGTTTAACTCTCCTTCTGTGCCATTAGACTAATTCAGTCGAGTATTTTACTCCAACTTATATCGCATTATAATAGTGACACTGACTCGTATGTGTGATTTCTTTTCTACCAAACTCCTCCCAAATCCGCTGCTTCCATAGACCAGGTCTGTAAGTAGCTGACACTGGCTTATTGCTAGCCAACCCCAGGAAATCCGGCAATCTCTCCTGTCGCAAAAACTGGCCGCTGGATTAGGATTCGAAATGTTTCTTCTCACTTTCTCTATTTTTGATAGTGACAGTAGAATAAAAAATGCCAAAGTCACAAAGAGTTGAATAATTAAACCTTACTTTAGTATTTTGTGACGTAACCAGGTACCTCATGTGATGAAAATAGTTCAATCAGCCGATAGTATAACTAACCGATGTGACGCAATAGTTACATAAGAACCACTGAATGACACCCAAATCGATTTCTATTTTGTTATAGGAAACGTTTTTAAGCTTCCGCTTCTTTTCAACAAGGGGAGTAAATCAATAAATATTCGTCTTTTATTTTACGAATAAAGCCTCCGATTGATGTGTCCCTGATTGACGTTTTCATTTGTTAAGTCTCGTAGGAATAAAATTTGATACCTCAAACAATAATCATAAAAAACCCTATCCATCTAAGAAGTTGCATTGAAATTCACTTCAAGCGTCGTAAGCTAAAATAAATCTCTTCAAATGCCTATATTTGAAAAATAGCATAATCGTGTTTGAAAAGCAAAAATTCAACGAATTTGAAAAATCCTTTGAAAAAGCGCATCAAAATAACAATGAGAGATTGGCATAATAAAGGTTTCAGAGAGGGGAGTTACCGTTGTTTGATTCCAAGTTCCCCCTTTTTCTCAGGGTAATTGATCGGAAAATTTTTCAAATTAATTCAATAAACAGAATGAAGAAAAACTAAGAAAAACATCAAAGGCCTGCAGCTGAAAAAAATTTATTTTTCAGTTTTTACTTAAATTGCTATTTCACACAAACAGTGCATCAAGGCAAGATTGAACTAAACCCCTTCTGCATAGAATGGTCACTTTTGGTTGTATTTTATGACATTATTTATTGGGCACCTAGAAGATCACCGAAGGCACCATCCTTTCGGCCAGATTAATTTTGCGAAAGTGTGTGGCCAAAAGTGTGTGGCCAAAAGTTCCGTGTTTAGGCTTTTTTAGCGAGAGTTTTGACAAATAATTGTAATGAGACAACTCGCAAAAAAGACAACTTGCAAAAAGACAACTCGCAAAAAAGAGAACTCACAATAAAAGACAAATCGCAAAAAAGACCACTCGCAATAAAAGACAAATCGCAAAAAGGACCACTCGCAAAAAAGACAACTCGCATTAAAAGACAACTCGCATTAAAAGACTACTCGCAATATACTCACCGCTGCAGTCGCGCCAAATAAAAGTGCACATGGCACTTGTAGTAAGTTCTCAGGGTTGGTTGGCCGACAATGAATGCCCTGAAAGAGAGCTTATTGGTTGCATGGCCAACAGGTTAAATTCTTGAGAGTGAATGGATTATTGAACCCTACACCCCCACCACTCACCTCTGCGTGAGCTTTTTGTAAAAATTCCCATAAAACATCCTAATTTTTTTTGCTTTGTCATCATATATTCTTCATTGTTCGCCGGAGCCAGTTCACCAAATTACTTTGACAATTCATTAACCTCAAAAAAGTCGCCAACATGTGCAAAGTATTTGAGATTCAGCCTTTCTCCTCTACAAAACACAAAAGTCCTGTTTTAACAGCATGAGAAAGTTCTGTTCAGCCTAACCATCAAGAATTTCGGGGTTCAAGACGCACCCATAATTTTGGTATTTGCTTGCGAGTAATTTTTCCAAAAGTTGCGTACATTTCTTTCTATCAGTGAATCATCTGTGAATCATCTATCAGTGAATCACCAGTGAAGTATCTGGGTTGTTGGATTGTAAGGTTGTGAATCAATTTCCCTCATGGATAAAATGGCCTAAAACCGTGACGTTATCTTTTTTATTTTTGAAGTCTAATTATGATTTTAAAAAAATCGGCAAATATCTGTTTCTAATGCTTGCACTCCTTTTTCGCCATCTTTAGAAAGAACAATAATTTTTGGGATATTATGGGAAATGTGAGATGGACTTGAAACATAGAGTGATGAATAATTGAGTTTCCTCGCCATCTTCAATTCATCAATTCATCTACCCAATCATAGCAAGATAGAAGCCGAATCATCAAACAGTACACTGCTATATAAAAAGGTCTCTGACTGATAAACTGCTCTTTAGTGCCCTCTCAGTTTGGAAGCAGACTCCATTTTTTCCTCTTTCTTTTCAATTCTGCCACGAAAACCGGTTCAAAAGAACTCCTTCAATAATTAATGAATAGTCCCCACTATAATTATTCTATTTTTCTATTTTTCTGATGTATCCAAAAGTCTCGATCTCTTTCTTTCACTATATTGTATGTTTTCAATCCATTCAAATTATCTAATTACAACAGGACCAAATTGACCGTATCGTATGAATAATTCATGTGGTAGTTTGTCAAATCATGTAAATATGACGTCAAGGGTACCGTGATATTTTTCAACAAAATCCAGGTCTTTTTTTTGTCTTAATTTCAACGAAATTTTCCTTCCTAGTGATAAAAAATGAAATGAGGAAATAATCAAATGAATTAAATGACATTAGTTTTTGGCGGCTGAGGAAGTTGTTTGATTGCAACACTTGCGTTAATGGTTGACTCAATTTAATATCTTTCGCACTGTCAGCTAAGATTCATGAAAAGCCTGTTCGCTACCTGTGAAGAGAAGGGTTTATGAAAAATTCATAAAACTGCTACCATAAAGGCTAAACCCTGAATGTTTCGCCACAGCATTCAAAAGTGCCTGAAGCAGTTCTTGAAAAAATGATAAGACTTCAAACGAGAGAGCCAGGGTGGGAAATTGATAATCGCATATCCGATATATTGCGATAAAATATATTGAAATAACTATCGACAAGCTTATAGGTATCGCGATAATCTATCGACTGGAAACTCGATATTTAATGATATTGTTTTTTTGGCATTGTTTGTTGGCAGATTGTTGGGATTGGGGTACCATCAAACCAAATAAATTACGTATTTGTTTGGTATTCATTTAGTCCATGGCTAACATTTTCTAAATTGTGTTTTTTTAGATAAAAAGTATGCCGGAAGAAGTAAGCCGGAAGAACAATGAAATTCACTACGAGGCCAAACTGTGCACTGAATAGGCGTTTAATTTTGTGTCTGTATGTTTCTGAATTCCAGAATCAAGTCTTTAAACATGTTAAAATGGTGAGAAGGGAGTCAAATTTTTGCCAATTCTTCGGAATAAATCCACTCCTCACAATAAATCCACTCCTCGCAAGTTAAAATGATATAATTTGAGTCTAGAAATAAATCATTTGGATCAATTAGCTGAGCAAAATTTAACCAAGATTGCTTAGGTGCCAGGTCAAAATTCGCGAAGTACAAAATATGTGCAAACATAAAACCCACACGCGCTCCAAAATGGATAAATTGGCGCCATAATTTCACAAAATTCTAGAAAAATTTGACTAAATGTGACCGCATTGATTTTCAACTCAGAGCAGTACATCTGGCAAACGACCAATTTTTTTTTCAAAATATTCAAAATGGAGTTTTGTAAGGAGAAACAATCACACCGAGCACACAAAAATGCAAAAAAAAGTATGCTTTATTTATTTCGCAATTTTTTGGCACAAACATTCCTGTATGATCAAAAAACGATTGACCTATGAGGTGCAACGATGAGCGAAATCACCATTCCGAGGCCAAATTGAAGCATAGAAAACCACCGATTTTTTTCGTCCGTGTGTGTGTGTATGTAAGACCCAGAGGCTGGCCATTAAAGAGGGTGTAGCGATAAGCGTATATAACTATTAGCGAGCCATAAACGCATAAAATGAACCCTAGTCGATCAAGGGAGTTTAACTTGCAAGATTTTGCAAGATAACCTCCTTTAAAGATAACCTTTTTTTGCAAGATCTTCACAAATACAATTTTTTTTGGGCAAAAATAGTTTTTAAAAAAACCAACAGCGTTCGTGGAAGAAGGAAGCAATTTTAGCTACGCATACATACACACAGCCCAATAGGCGGTTGCCCCCAGAAAATTTCAATTTTTTAACTTTCATTGTGATAGGCGGCTATCTTCAAGTTTTGATCGACAACTTATACCTAAATCTCTCAAAATAGGAAAAACACAATTTAAATCAAATGAGAACATAAATTTACAGAAATAAATCACAAGATTAAAAACACAAGATGAAACTTAAGTTTTTTTAACTCAGTTTTTTCTCACAATAACGTCAATCGAGATGAGTTGATGGATTCTCCAGAAAATCTTCAGTAGACTTATTTGAGAAGAAGTCGTTTGTGATAACAGCTTCACCTTCCTAGAACACAGCCAATCGAAAATTACAAAAGAGTAATGAACGCAAGTAAACAAAAAACACTGACTTTCTTGAAAAAATCTCAACTTTCAAAAATCAAAGAAAAAAATAGATGCCCTCTAAGCTCCTTGAACATCTAGAACGATTTATGATTAGAGCTTTTTTGATAATAATAACACAATTTTTTTTTCGTTTGTGAAAATTTGAATCACTGCAAAACAGAGCATATATGATTCATTGAGAGCATACTCTACACAATTTTTAACGATTCAAACTAAAAATTTTGAAAAAAAAAATTAATTTTTTTTTCAGATCAACTCGAAAAAGTTTTGGGTTCTCGTCCTAGAATCAATTTGTTTTGATCTTACACCTAATTTCTGTTATTTGTTTTTGTTTTTTAGACAGAATTTTTGAGATGGTTATCTTGCAAGAACTTTGCAAGATTCTTGCAAGATAGCCTTCCTCTTCCAAGATTCTTGCAAGATAACCCTCTTTTGCAAGAACTTTGCAAGATAACCTCCCTTGATCGGCTAGGAAACATTCCTTTAGACGAAAACCCATTTAATCTAAGCTTTCGAAAAAATATAAAAACCATTTTTTATATTAAAGAAACACAGATTTTACTTTCAACTAACTAAAATTTCGGTTCAGCGCACGCAATTCAAAATATCTCAATTGAACAAACAAATCTTGACGCAGTGAACGAGTCAACTGCATTCTTTCACATGGGAATGCTAATTGACTCACTTGGTAATAACTCGGACGGCACAAATTGGCAAAATTTAAAACACCATAAGTTTACCAAAATTTAAAATTTAGAAGAATCATCTTTTGAA